AATAATATCTCGTTTAAGTTCATCAGTTGTTGTTGTTGGTTTTCCTGGCAAAACTCTGTGAATATCTACCTTAATTTTCCGTAGTTCTGTTGCACTAACTTGAGTACCTTCTGGTCCTCTAAATAAAGATGTACCATCTGAAGATTCTAATCTGCAGTATAAAATAATTTTTTATTTAAAAAAAGATTATATGACTTTAATAAACTTTACATTAAAATTATAAATTAAATTTTCTCGAATATTATATATAAAAATAAGATATCTTACTAGAAATTTTATATTATATTATTTTATGTACTTATTTACAATTTTTCAAATTATATTGCATATCTAATATAATATAATTTCTATAATATTCAAATATTTTTTTTTTAAACTCTATTTTTATTTACATTTAAAATAATTTTATATAAATAATTAAACTAAAAATTATTTAATTTATTTATACATACTTTTCGGATAATATAAATGTTTTAGATGTATTTGATGTATTACTTCTACCTCCCCGGCTTTCTGGGGATCTACTTTTAGTTTTACTTCTTTTCGATAATGCTAGTTTTTTCTCACGAGCACGTCGTAATTCATATTCTAAAATCATCTTTTTCTTCAATCTTTCATGTTCTCGTTCCCGTTCTTGTTGTATCATCCATTCGCGTCTACGTCGTAATCGTTCTTCTTCTGTTCTTGAACGCAGACCAGTTTCACTATCTTCACTGCGTGATTGTCTAAATCTCTCATCGCGATGCGAATGACTTGATGTATTTCGTTTCATTTTTATGATAAATACCGAAGAAGTATATGTATATTTATGAAATTTAATCTGCAAATCTTTTTTTAGGTTAGAAATATAATAAGATTCAAATATGTACATTACATCAAATGATGTATAAGAAAATATTTTATTATTATAATAAATGAAAGAGAACAAACATTAAAATGTTAAAAAATAAAATTATAAAAATTCTCTAAATTTTCAAAGTATATACATACTTACATGTAAATCATCCACGCATGCATTGCTGCTAATAGAAAAATTTTAAAAACCCTACTTTTTTTTTTTTTATTATTTATATTACTAACTTCATAGTACGATTAGTTAAAATTGAAGATAAGATAATTATTTGACTAATTAGAAATGATATTATTAATAAAATACATTGTAAAATTAGTAAAAAGTTTTTAAACGTTCTATTAATATAGATATTGCAGATTGCAAAGGAAAAATTGAAGTTGCTATGTATTATATTACTATAAGTAATGTACTATATTGTATGCTTTCTTAACCAGTTGCTATGTATTATATTATACTATAAGTAATGTACTATATTGTATGCTTTTTTAACTAGATGCTATGTATTATATTATATTATAAGTAATGTACAAAACATTTTAGTACAAAATTAGTACATTAATACAATGTATTATAATGAAAAACAAAATTCCATAATAAATCTATATTATTTTTTGACAATGTCATTATATTTTATTATACCCAATAAGAAATTTTTTACAATATTTTACAATAATCCATATTAACAATAATTTGTTATTATAGATATATATCCATTATTATATATATCCACATATTAATATAGATATCCATTTATTAATAATATTTTGTATTATTTTTTATATAACAAAAAACAATATTTATTTTGTAATATTTTATAGTATGTAATATCTTTATATTTACTAAGAATATTTGTTAATTTGTTATTATAATTAATTTATTATATTGTAACTAATATTGCGCAAAATATCTATATTATGTTAACAATTATAACATATTATTTTTTAACAATATTCTGTATCTTATAATAATAATAATATTTTATAATAGTTCTATAATAATAATATATTCTATTAAACATACATTAGCGATTGAATATTATTGTGAATAATTGTATTTATTAGCGGAAATTTGTCTTGATTAAATTATAAAATATACTAAACGAATAATCTCAAAAATTAAATTAAATTAAATATATGTTAAATTAAATATATTTTTAAATATATTTGGAAACTATAATTATGATAGAAAGATTATAGTGTAAAATATAAAATGTCAATAATTTTTTCTGATATTTGTTAATTAATAAAATTATTTTTTACCTTATTTCTATTCAAATTTCGATTTGTATTAAAAAAAAAAACTTTTTTTAAATTTAGCTTAAAAATTTATCGTTAATAAAATAAAGCTATTATTAATATAAATTTGTTTATAATATTTTAATATATAAAACAGTATTAATTTATTATGATCAAAAATAAATTTAAAGATATCATAATAAAAATTTTTGAATATTTGTTACGAAATATGAAAAATAATATTAGTGTAACTATTAATATTTTTATTTTAATTTAATATAATAAATAAAATAATAAAGAATCTCTAATAAGATTATGATGTGACCAAAATAAATTTATTATATCGTTATTTCATATGTAAATTTCTTTTAGAAGACTAAATCAATCCAATGAAACTTGATATTGAAATTTAAATAACAAGTATTATATTATACATTGTTATATTAACTATAAATGATTGGTATATGAAAATGTTGCAACGCCATCTAGAATTTTTTTATGTTAAGAATATTTAAAAAATTTTTAAACATATGATATTATGTTATCTTTAAACAGACTTTTTCAATTTAAATATATATAAAATATATATAATCATTATAAAATTAATTTATAAAATTATCTATAAAAACATTCAAAAGACGCCATAATGTTTCTCTCGGTATCAAAGCTGCTGTGAGTGTCATGATCATGGAGAAAGAATTGCAGTATTATACATTTAAATTTTATTGTGTACAAATTTTTTTACAAATAAATTAAACAATAAGAATGCTGATAAGAGAGTGGTGTACGATTTTTATGCATTTTCTTATTGCTTGGAGGACGGATTAGATCATTTTAAAACTAAATATACACGAATAAGTAAACATCTGACAAAAAGGAATCTTATAGAAAGGACGAAAAAAAACGCCGTAACATTTCACGGCAGAAAAGAAACGGAAACAGAGGTTAGCTTATTGAACACAACTACCCTAGTCAGTTGTTAAGATGGCAGTTATTATAGTTATGGTGGTAGTCGAAATGATATCAATTTAGTTAAAACATTCAATGAAAAAACAAAGGAGGAAAGCAATTTTTATGAGTGTTAATGTTTGTGAGTTTCGGTGGCTATCTTATCGGTTTTTTAGTTAGTATCATTTAAAAATATGAATGTTAAAGTATTTAACAGTGAAGGAACAATTGATTGTATATACATATATATACATATACATACACGTTTATCTTCCTTTCAATAGGTTTATTTCTCTCTTTTTGTTGTTCTTTTCTGTTTCTCTCTTCAGTCCTTAGTTCTTTCCCTCCCCCTTGTTTATTAATTAGTCGTTCTATAGTATTACGAACAAATCTTTCAAAGAATACGATTGCGTGTCAAAGAAAATATAAGTCAATCGTGACTCGATCGTAAATTGTTATCTTGTTCTATCGAGATTTATTGATTTGTTAATTAAAAGTATGACAAATATACGGAATTTGTAAATTTATATCGTGCAAAATTTACAAAGGTAACTAAATTAAGAAAAATAGTGTAGATGATTGATAATTGTTAAATATAATGATTATTTACTGTAAGTATTTAACAAATTAATTATATTAAATATGATATATTTATATCTATGTAATATAATTATATCTATATCTATATATAACGTATAAATTATATTATAAGAATTCGTTTTTACTATTCATTTGAAAATTATCATCTCTAAACCATTGTCTAATTGAAATTTATTTATTTAAAATAATTTTCATTATACTTTAAATTTTTTTATCGATCGAAATTAGGTCATCAAGATAAAATAAGGGAAATCCATATACTTACATTATTCGCATTTTTGATGAATCAAGATATAATGAATTAAATAGATAGAAGAATGTGTTTGAAATATTTTTTATAGTTTATGATATTAATTATGCGATTACATGAATTGTTTATTTTTTTTCTTCATTTCTATGATATTCAGTATGAAATTATTCCATAATCGGTCAAACTAATTTTTTATAGTAAGTGTATTATCTGTAAATTAGAAGATTAATTTATATTTTAATTATAGCTATTAATTTATAATTTTTATACACATAATAACATTTTAATATTTTATATATCTGTAAATAATATGTATTAAGAAAAGAAAACAAAGATAATTACATATATATATATATATAT